CGCCGTAAGTGATATCCCGCTGATCACTAATAAACTCATTTATCCTAACACACTGAGTGCGGTCACTAAGATAGTCCTCAAAAAGTCTTAACTGTGTCCCCCTAATTCCCGACGCTTCCAACTTCCGAATTAAGATGGGAATAGACACCGTGTCAAATGCCTTAGCGAGATCCAAAAATATACCTAAAACCTTTTGCCCACCATCCATTTTTGTAACAATGTAGTTCGTTAGCTCATGAACTGCATCAGATGCGGATCTTCCGGAGCGAAAACCATATTGCGACGAAGAGAGCACATTATGCCTTTCCAAGAAGTCCACAAGTCTGTTATTCATGAGTCGTTCTAGTATTTTGGAGAGGGCAGGCAATACTGCTATAGGCCTGTAACTATTGGCACATTTTCGATCTCCACTTTTGAAGATTGGGTGAATTATAGACCTTTTGAAGACACGAGGGAAGACGCCCAACGACAGAGCCAAGTTGCAGATATATGTCAAAGGAGGCACAAATACATCTCTATGTTCTTTAAGGATTCTACTGGATATGTTATCCCATCCCATGGCACAGTCATTACGAAGTGACAAAATTAATCCTTCAATTTCCTCTTCATCCGTCTGCAACATAACTAGGGACTGAGGGTTCCTTGTAGCGGTGGTAATACTGTCTAATTGTATAGGCCCATTTATTATTTTTTCTGCAAGATTCTTACCAACACTACCGAAGTACTCATTAATTGAATTTACCGACTGTTTGGGAGTATTAGACATAGCCAATAAATGAGATGAGTTTTCTTTCTTCTTTACCCTGTTTGTTATATTATTAATTGCTTCCCATAGGTGTTTGTTATTTTTTCCGGCCTTATTGATCTGTTCCTTTTCATACTCTCTTTTAACTTTTTTTAGCAAGGAGTTACAGAAATTCCTGTATCTTGTATAAGAAATTTTTAATACGTCATTATTTGGTGTCCCCTTAAGCCTTTGGTGCATTCTATCCCTGTGTCGTATACAACGGAGAAGGCCTGGTGTAATCCACGGTTTTATGTTTTTTTTGCGGTTAGGTACTTTCAAAATTTTGGTGTTCGAGTCAATTGCCTGTGTTATGAGTTTTATCATTAATTCTGCAGCATGATGAGGATCTTGAATGCTATAGATTTGACTAAAATCCAGTCGTCTTATGTCGAGGTCTAGTTGCTCTCGATTGATGCGCACTATAGTTTTATGTCTATTTAATTGAGGCATTTTTTTTGCAAGATACAGTAGAACCGTTTCGTGATCGGTGAGGGCAGAGTGCGCCACATATGTTCTAGCCGGCAAAACTGTTTTTAGAATAATATGATCTAAACAGGAATTTAGTCGTGTAGGAAGTGAGTGGAATTGACGCCGTTAATTTGAGTTTTTCCCCACAATTTGCAAAAACATCAATTTTAGTTTATTTTAATTAAATATAGGGGTAAGCGGTTAAATAAAACATAAGCATTAAAGTAAGAAGTCGTCCTGGAAGACTGGATTTGGTAAATATTGCTTAAATAATTTTTATTTCAAAAATATTCACTTGATCCCTAGACACTTTTGATGTGTGAATTTTTTACTTATTATAAGCTATGTATGTTATAAATGAATAAAGTCATGGATGGCGTGGTGCGAACATGTGACTTTTATGCCATTAGGCGAAAAAAGGTGTCGTCTCTGCATAAGCGAGTGCGTGACAGTGGAATGGCATCCTGAAGATGTTTGCCCATCGTTTTGATTGTACAATTTTAAAGTTTTGGGTAAAGATCGATACTAGCCGAATTAAGTCGTGATTTGTGCATTTACCTAGTTTTCATATTTTTATTATAATTAGCTATCAATATTTCGAAATTCATTGCAATCGTACTAACACAGTTTTAAGGGTTTGCTTTGTAACTAACACCATCATGTTATGGGCTATGACCTGAAATAATTGATTTATTATTATTTATTATTCTTATAATAAGACAAGCCACGCCCGCCGCGCGCCTTATACGGACGCACACACATGCATAATCTCGCAGCTGGGTTTCGTCTGCATGGAGTTGTATTATACAGACTTCGCACACGCAGTTCCTTTAGTAGCAGCCTTAGGGGTGGGCATACACGGCCTGCTCGAGCAGTTAACCAATGATCAACATACACGGACCGCTCTTGCAGCCACAGTCAACAGCTTGAGGCTGCCGTTGATAACTGCTGAAGTTGGTTAATACCAACTGCTCAACAAGTCACAATTTCAATTTTTATTCAAATCAGTAGCAACATGGATTTTGAAGAAGCACTACTACTGCTAATTTTGCTCAGACGACGACGGCGGCAGCGTAGAATTTGCTTAGCAGAGGTAACTGCGCGAGAGCAGTCGACAGTCCAAGCAGTCAGATTACGCCTAGCGACTGCTTAAATGCACGATGAAATTTCACCGCGCTACGTAGCAGTCGCAACTGTTCGACCGGTTTGGTGTATGTGTATACATAACTGTTGTGTTGTTTGCTATGTGGTCCCAGCTTGCTGCGGTCGATACTAGTTGCTTCAAGCTGCCCGTGTATGGCCGACCTTAAAGCTTAGTTTCAGAAGTCTACTGTAATGCAATGCGGGTTGAGGACTTGATACGTATTCCAAGAGTAGGTGGGCCTTCTTATCCTTGAAGATTTCATCTCGATGTTCTTCCCGGTTAGCTTGTGATATTGCTACACAACATACATATAACAAGTCATATCGACAGTGAACTGGCAACCGGTACTATCTCAATTTTGATAATTTTGCACGATGAAGAAAAAAATTGTTTGCGTCATTTATATAGTATCTGGTTTTTAAATAAAAATACGTAGTGTATGTGTAATAAAAATATTTAAAAAGTACGTATTTATATTTAATAAACAGATGCTATATAAATGACGCAAACAATTTTTTTCTTCATCTAGAGTTCGAGGCGTGGGCTAGTTGCAGTATCTCCCTCGAACGAGGACGAGGCGACAAGTTACCGAAACTAATATATAATTTTGAAATTTTTTTGAATATCTACTTGACTTGATCATAGAGTGTAGTACTTAACATTACTGATTAATATTATTTCATTGTTTTATTTTCTTTATGTCTTATTGCTTATAATTCTATGTATTGACTTGTACTTATGACTAGCATTGTGAGTACTTTGGGTGATACTGTAAACAGCCAACGTATATTTTTCAATAAATAAGGAAACGTATACGTATCAATATATAAATGCGAAAGTAACCATTGTCTGCTACGTTTTCACGCCTAAACTGCTTTTGATAACCAAATTTGTTGAATTTTGGCATAAAGATAGATGTGACCACGAGGACAGGTTCCTTTTTTGTGACAAAAATAAATCTTAAAGGGGATGAAATAGGGGACAAAAGTTTGTATGGAGAACCAATCATTTCTCAAATATATTTACAGTAGGCTATTCGAAGTGCACATTCTACACAGATGAAGTCGCGGGCATCAGCTAGTATTTTATAAAAAATATATAAATCGTTAAAATATATAAACATTACATATATTTATCAAATCAAGTCACACATCGCAATGAGACAGGCGAGTGTGTTATAACTTTAAAGGCACTCGGACACGCTTATTGATTGTAAAGCAATTGCCTTTCTGGACAAAAAAGTCTATTTTACATTTTAAAAAACATATACGGGGTAATTTAAAAATAGTAACAACATCGAAGGACTTATTAACATCGTAAACAACAAATTTTATTCCATAACCTTTTACAAAACGTAATTTTAATAAAAATAAATTTTCAGATGTTGTACCATATCGTCACCTTACTATCTTTTTCGATTCCCGGGCCGGGAGAAATAGTTGTATGGCCTACAATTATTTCTCTCGTGAGTTTGGATGTAAGTTGTGGTTGTCTATGTGTGTGTCCATGGCACCCGCGACACAGGGTTTCCCCAGTGCGGGGCTATGTTGAGTGTGTGCGTTATTTATTTATTTATTTATTATTATCTCAAATTCGTATCTTAAAACACAAAGTTACTGAAATGCAAAAAATGGATTGTATATACAAATTTTTCAGGCTGACTTCACATCACAATTCTTTCATATTCACACACTGACTTTTAACTATTCTCAAATTAACACCGTTGATAAGAAATTTAAAATAAATAGAAAGTATTGCCACCTCCTGAACAAACACTCTTTATAAGACACGAGTTTGAGTAAGTAAGGCATCGATATAACATTTTTTAGATCCATATTTGTGCAAGTCCTTCTGTGCCGTTGTGCGCTCGCGCTTTCTTTTGTTACCGCACAGAGTTATACCGTTTACAACGATCTATTTAAATATTTTTATTTTTGTACGAGTGTAAATTTGATAAATTATTAAAAGTGATGGCACAAAAGCTGTTGCTTATAATGTTAGTATTATACTTCCCTCAGGTGGTTAGTAATGAAATCGATCATAGGCCCTCGTACATAGCCATCGAGTATATAACCAGAAATAGAGACGAAATGTAATTTAATTTGTTTGAAAACTATTCTGCCAAATCATTACGATGACAACTGTGCTCCGATTGGCCAGCCCGAATTCGAAAAAATTGATGGATATCGTCAAACGTTTCACTTCAAATCGACCAATTTAACTTGAGCTTTGCTATAATGGACGAAAATTGCTAAATTACATATTTAATTACCAACGAAATGTGATTCCGTAGACGTTTTGCTGTTTTTCCGACACCACCGAATGGAATAGTCCCCAATAGTTAGGAGATATTATCTTTATCACAATAAATACAGAATATTTTTGGAATATACGGAGACGTACACACAAGTCAGGTGTTGACGCTGTACTACTTCAGCTTTCTAAATTGTGATTTCAGTGCAAACAAGAATTGAAATTTAAAAGTTGTCAGCGACGTATGATGGCCCTTATTTCGTCTTTATTTCTGGTTATATGTATACTCGACGTACATAGTTAAAACAATGATCCTACATAATTCATAAGGTTCAATTTCTTTTCCAGGTCACGAGGCACCTTCTTTCTTAGAACGAACGCCGTGTCACCATTCTCCATACAATAATAACATTTATGTTTTAGAAAATTATACTAATTGTAGGTCTTAAGATAATAATAATAAAGTGGTACTGCTCGATGCGGCACGTATCGTTCGGCGAGTCCGAAACAATTACCGTCAATAAATAATATTCGACCGAATCAAATAACAATTTGAGTATTACTATGTGATAGTAATTGTTTCGGACGAATGTCGAATAGAGAACGGGAGTAGAGCCCCTGTGCCGTTGTCGAGGAATACCGCCTCTCCTATTAAAATTTTTGTTTTTAATTTCCGTATCAGTACAGCTCCCTGTGGGAGTTCATCCAGGGAAGTACTGCCACCATTTTTGCCGCCAAGCAGTAACGTGAGCATTACTGTTTTCCGGTTTTCAAGGTTAATGGCGCCGGTAAAACTACAGGCACATAAATGGACTCTATCGTGACAGCTCAACAAATCGACTCCTCCTACGTAAATTTTATTTTATTTATTTATTTATTTCAGGCAACTAGGACCCATAGATACATACCTTACAGACTAACATACATATAATATAACAATAACAATATAAAAACAAAATACACCTATGTATATTATATATACCTTAAAACAAACATACATACAATATAATAATAAAAACTAATCTACACGATTTCCCTTATCGGCGACGTGTGGCGCAATCTGGTGTCAGGTAACCGGCCGCGGAATCGCCGATATATGACACCCTTCGGCCAAAATTCCTCTTTCATGAAGGTCGAAAGATGTTCGGTCGGTATTCTCACCACAAACGAATTGAAGTTCACGTTGCGGCGAGACTCCAACCGCTCGACCCTCAGGGTGTATTTGGTTTTATGACTGATATACTCCACTATTTCCTCAGACTTCGTGGAGTAATGCAGCCGCGACAGGTACAACAGCGTCGTCGGTACGGCCGGACGCAGCAGGAAGTTCGGTCCTGTCGGAGCTGTGCCACACTGGTTACGGCTGGTGGGCTTCCTCTTCACCACCTTTGTGAAGCCATCCTCGTCGCACTGGACCGTCTGCCTCTGTGGTTTTGCAACTTCAGAGACAGGCACACGGAAATTGTTTTTATCCTTAGCCGATTGCCGCCGCTCGAATTTCGAAGTGGCGGGTCGGCTAGTTGAAGCGGCTACAGCGGCTACAGCGGCGTATGCACGTGTCGGGGTTGACGTGCACACGCGTGACATTTCCACCGAGGCAGAGGGGCGGGCAGCGGGGCGCGGCGCATCATGCGCGGTGGCAGCAACGAATGGTGACGCATTGTGTGCCGACTCGAAACTGCTGACCGAGGCATTCAGCGCAGCTCCGCGTCGTGTGTTTACATTAGAGGCTTCTGGTGACCTACATACCGAAACAGCATTGCTTAATAACGCAACTTGGGTACGCAGCCCACTTATGATGTTATCCGAAGCCTCTAATTTACACTGTACTTCGGCTAGGCTAGACTTCAGGGACGTAATGTCCTTCAGCAGCCTAGTAACATCGACGTGGTCGAACGTGACGGGGGGCAGCTTGTGCAGCTCCTTCGCCACGAATGTAGGCACGTCGTCCGGGTCAGTCTCCTTCAGCAGCGTGATGATGTCTTGGAGACTCTTCACGCCTCCATCCCTCCGGCGAGATGGCATCTCTTCGGCTTTACCGAGACGCTGGAAAAGCAGCATCTTGCCACTGCAAATCTCATCTTCACTGAAATTTGATTTGCATATCTGCACTATGCTGACTTCATCCATGGTGTCGATAGCGTGTACAATGAACGCCAGGAGCTCATTGGCAATGAGTTGCTGGGAATTCATTGTCAATTACGCGCAGCGGCTTGTGCCGCTCGAAACACGAGTTAGGTGTAATTAACTCACTTCGTCGTGGCACGTCCGTTTCCGAACGCGCATTGCTACGGACTGATGATAAAGTATCGTATGTCGAAATTGTCAAGTTTACAGGGGAGCGTTAAGTTTTGAATTCACTGAAACGAGCATAACACGTGACTTTAGCACAGAAATGCTAAATTTAATTGTAAAATGATAAAATATATTGTGGTAGTTCATCTAACCGATATCTAGGATTATATCAAACTCTGTGTGAGTTTTGCCGTTATGCTAAAGTCACGTGATATGCTCATTTTAGTGAATTCAAAACTTTAAAACGCTCCCCTGTAAACTTGGCAATTTAGACATATGATACTTCACGTAGGAGGGGGTCGATATGTTAATAATCGGTGAGGTTACTTCACACCGGGACAGGTGCTTCAGCTGTACCAAGCACAAGTCCGGTCGTGTACGGAGCACTGCCGCCACTTATGGGATGGCTCTGCTAAATACCAACTGGTCACCTTGGATTCAATAGACAAGCGTGCTAAGAGATTTATAGGTGACTCGGAATTAGTAGAGGCGAAGCTGCAGAGCCTTGAACATTGCCGTAGAGTTGCCAGCTTATCGCTATTCTACAGGATATATCACGAAGAATGTGCGATGGAATTGCATACCATCATTCCGCCTTGCCCTTTCCATCATCGGGGGACTAGACGTGGGCTGGGGTTCCATCCCTATGTTGTGGATATTCCCCGGGTTCGCTTCCACATTTGTATGGCGAGCGGCTAGGGAGTGAAATACCTTGCCCGCAGACTTGGACCTTTTCAAAGCGAGAGTGGATAGGCATTATTTAGGTGTGCATGCTACATCCTCGACCTCATCGTTACTTTCCATCAGGTGAGATGGAAGTCAATAAAAAAAAAATCGGTATTATTGCAGTGTATGACGAATATTTTGCTGACCCCTCACACGCGCCTACTCGCACAAGAATCTTGCAATCTCTTGTTTGTTGTAAATCTTGGAACTTACACACTCACTTACCGAAGGCTGCCTTTGCAGCTGAGGCTTTATTTTACAACTACGATTGAATTTTTTTACTAGCAGTAGAGATCCGTGTGAAAGAGTTCGGCTAGGGACTATTTCTGCCGCCAAGCGGTACTGTGAGCATTACCATGGTTTTGAAGGGTAAGGGTGCTGGTGAAATTACAGGCACATGGGACTTATCAACTTATGTCTCGCATTAGCAGCGCCCTCAGATCTTTGTGATTTAGTCCCGTGTGTCCGCCAACGCGATAAAATGTTTGCCGCGCCGCAACGCATCGTGTGGCCCGGCTCTTGCTTAGCGGGAGTAACGTGCATTATTTAATCCCTAGCGAGTAAAAAAAACCAGATTTTTTAATTTACTTCGAGTGTACAAACTCAAACAGCCAGTAATACGCTCGGTTTTAGTTCCGTACCTTTTCCGCATAGACGGTGGCGCCATGTTATTTTCCCACGTTAGTGAGTTTTTGTTTCTGGTTGAAAAAAAAGACTCCGCGATAATTTGTTGCAGAGCGAAAACGAAAGAATTCTTTTTCTCGCTATCGTGAAATGTTAAGTTTTCATCTCGAGACTAAAAGCCAATATAAACCGTCGAAGTAATATACACCCTTTCTAAAGCTCAGGTGTCTAACAACCCCGGGTATATATTGGCTCGTTTACACTATTGTAAGGACGAAGTTTCCAATTTACCATTATCTTGTAAGTCTATTGTTAAAAATAAATAAGATATTATTATTAATACAAAGATCGAACACTCAGAAAAATTCCTTCGATCCGGTCGGATTCAAACCGACATCTTCTAGCATACCTTGCCAGACGCTATACCAACTAAGCCACGGAACGAACCAACGGACCTCACGAATTTTTCTATGTGCTTGCGTCGTGTCTTTGTATTTGGTTTTTCAACGACTTTTTAGTCGTAGCGCCATCTACGATGATCGAAGGAATTTTTTCTGAGTGTTCGATCTTTGTATTAATAATTATAACAAACTAGTGGAGTAATTTCACAAAAAATAATTGAATATCAATTCAATAAAAATTTAATAAATAAGATATTGTTTATTTTTTATAATACGTGTTTTTTTTACTTCCAATGTTAATCCCAGGTTAAAGTCACTATTTTTCCTATCCTTGATTATGCTGATGTGTGTTAAGCTGATATCACCCAGGAACTTCTTAACAAATTGGATCGCTTGCTCAACAGTTGCATTCGCTTTATTTATCCTCCTAAGGCCCCCGTGTACATAATACGTAAAATGATTCACACCCAGAAAACATTATTCTCATGATCACGTAAACGCCCAGTGTACATTATACGTAAAAATATCGTATTCAAATTTGGCGCTATATTATATTCTTTAAGGTATATAGTAAAATAGGTGGTTCATAAAAAACCGATGGCATGCTTGTTTGTTGTTTGGGCTTGAAGCATGTAATTATACTTAGTACATTTTATTGTACAGACGGCAGTATACATCAAGCTACACATTATAACGAATCTCGTTCCATTACAGTGAAGGCGATATTCGAGCAACATTGTACATTGGGCGTTTTTCCCATTGTAGTTTGCTGGGATTCAGGAGGATAAGGACTTCGAAAATTTGATCACGTGTCCGCATGCCGCAATGAGCTGAAGTGGCTTACGATTCACCAGTGTCGTGATTTGAGAATACTTTCCACTTTTTACTCTACCATTAACGATAAATGTGCACCTGGATATTTGAAATGTAAATTTAAATATTTGGGTGCATCCCATAATCGCATTTCGCTCAGACAGCAAACTGACTCTTTTAATTCCTTCTCACCGTACTGGTTTTCTTTCTAACTCATTTACTCTTCAGGCAATACGACTCTGGAACGCTCTACCGGCCCACATTCAAAAAGCGCCGAATAAACTAGCTTTCAAGCAATTAGTCCGTGATTTCATATTGGAGTCTCAATCTATATCCCATTAGTCTGACATTGTTATACATAAATATGTATATTAAATATATATGTGTATGTACTATACATTATGTTTTTATGTGTATATAAGTTGCTTATATAAGTATAAGTTAGTCATATAATATTATGTGCTATATTTATATGGTGTTTAAACTGTATATCATAAATACTTATAAACTTCTTCCTATCTGTTTTAATCATGTTATGCACCCCTTTTAATTATTTTCAACCCAGCTCTCCGGATGACTGGTAGAGAATGCCTAATGGCAATAAGTCCGCCCTTTGTACTATTTTGTGTGCAATTAAGTTTAAATAAATAAATATAGTTCAACGTAAAATTTAACTACTAATTACGTGAACTTCAGCAAATGATACCCATTGAATGGCTTTCGAAAATGAATTAAATTCATGACATGACTTTTGTAACACCAAATTCAAGAATTAAATGTATTATTTCTGTACGGCCACTTGAAATTGATACTAAACAGCGCAGCTTATACCAGTTCTTTGTATTATTAGTAATTGACCTGTATAAGAATAACCTGTGCATAGGGTACTATTAGATCCAACTCCCCAATACAAGAGAGACATCATGCGTGCTAGTGAGATCAAGTTATATTTGTTTTTTATTGTATAAGTCGAAGACCAATTCAAGTAAACACTAGATCGCCTTATGCCAATTAATAATAGTGTGTCCTTTTTTGAAGATTGAGTATAATGACAGTTCTATGCGCAAAAGTGTTGCCCGCTTACAAACAGCTAGTGATTGCAGTCGATATCGAGTATATAACCAGAAATAGAGACACTATTTAATTTGTTTGAAAACTATTCTGCCAAATCATTACGGTGACAAGTGCGCTCCGATTGGCCAGCCCGAGTTCGAAACAATAGATGGGTGTCGTCAATTGTTTCACTTCACATCGACCAGTTTGCTATAACGACTTTGCTATAACAGACGAAAATTGAAAAAAATACATATTTAATATTTAATTACCGATAAAATGTGATTCCGTTTGTTTCGTAATTAAACGTTTCGCTGTGTTTGACATATTATCTTTATTGTAATAAATACAGAATATTTTTGGAATATACAGAGACGTACACACAGGTCAGTTGTTTGACGCTGTACTATTTCAAATTCAAATTCAAATTCAAATTCATTTAATCCTTTGTGATACACAGGTTATAAAGGTTCATTACATATTTAGTTAGTGTCACTGTGATCCGCCCAGCGGCATACAAAGTTTATTCGCCTAGCGGCGTACAAAGTTTATACATTTGTCATAAAAATAATTAAAAAATAATTAGAAGTTCAAATAATTGATTAATTGATGAAATAAAATTTATATAAGGAATAAGTCAAATCAACATTCTAATATAAAATAATAATAAAAAGCAATTATAGTTAAATTTATACATCGTAAGTCAAATTAATTCTTGTACATTTTGCTCAGTCTGATTTTATGTAATCAGTCAAATAATCATTAATATTATAGTAACATTGAGTAACCAATAAATTAAACAACTTAATTTTGAATTGACTGTAATTTAGTGTCTTTATGGTCTCTGGTAATTTATTAAATAATTTGGGTCCCAAACCAAATACTGTGTTATTGTAGAATTGCAAGTTTGGTAGTTGTTTGGGCCGTATTACAAGGTTATTTCGTGCTTTCCTAGGATAACTGGTTTGTACCGAAGAGAATTTGTCTGGATTTTGTTTAACAAAAATACATGCCTCATAGATGAATAGCGAAGGTAGAGTCAGGATCTTAAGTTCCCTAAAATAAGGTACGCAACTCACTCGTTGACCTATTCCGAACATTGCCCTGACACATTTCTTCTGAGTTTTAAATAGTGGCAAAATATGTGTCAGAGCAGCGTTACCCCATAGCAATATACCATATCGCAGACCAGAGGCCACATATGCATGGTAAGCACATAACGCCGTGTTTCGAGAAGTAATTTTAGTTAAGTTTTTTAGTACGTATACGTATTTACTCAGTTTAGTCGTTAGATTTGAGATGTGTGTCTTCCAGTTCAAGTGACGATCAAGTTCAGTTTTCTAATTTGTGATTTCAATGTAAACGAGAGATGACATGTAAAAGTGATAAAAGGCCCATTTGCCTGATGAGTGCCAGGGATGGATGGCCTTATTTAGTCTCTATTTCTGGTTATATACTCGATGGCAGTCATTGACTAACAATTATATGGACGTCGGGTCCGCGCTAAAAAGTGTCCGCACTTGTAAGGCGCTAAAATCGTATACAGAGCGCGACACTCCGCTTTAGTCTTCATTTGTTCTACGGACAGCGCGATACTGCGACGACATAACAATTTAAATTTCGAATAGGTTGACTTGGGACATTTTTTTCGTGGTTTTTGTATTAGACCCGTCGTCCATTTATTTGTAAGTCAATGATGGCAGTCGATAAATATTGTATCGACTATCCACTGAATGTTCGCTAGGCTTACGCAATAAATAGCCGAACTTGTTATATTATATCATCATCGGCCCATTATTCGTCCAGCTTCTGGGCTCAGGTTATTTGAATTGTCATTTTTTTTTAATTCGTACATACATACACTGCTAGATGATCGAATCGTAATGAATAAAGCATAGTTCCCAAAGTGGTGCCTAACCCCCAAATTCCAGTGGGCGCTGAAGAGTCTTAGAGGGACCGAAGGGCTTCGAAAGCAATTGGGGGGCGTTGATGCTGTCCAGGGGGTGAAAGTAATGCGGTAGCACCACATTTGAAAAACTACACAATATTATAATTTTTTCTCCTTGATATCTTTTTGGGTTAACTTAATATAAAAAATACGTATTTTCAATTTTTTTTTTGTGGTGCTGGCCGTTGAATTTTTGTTTATTTTGTTTGGGAACCTATGGAATAGAAAATGTACTGACCTGTACATGTGGTGCGGGTGCAGCAGGCTGCCAAGAACAAGAGAGTGAAGGTACACCGGTCGCACTAGGTGGGACAGTAAGGCTCCTTGCAGGCCCACGACGCACCAGCGGGCCACTTTATCGGAGCATGACATTGTTAAAAGACGTTCTCCCTGGAACAGAAATATTTGATACTACTTAAAAGTTTATACTACATTAGTTCGAATATAATTTTTTCCCGTACTGAATCTCCTCTGTTTCGTGCAACAAAATGAAAAATGTATATCGTATACTATACTACTACTATTGTATATAATACTAATTCAGTTTAGTGTTCTATTTAATTCAGTTGATATTTAAAAAAATCATTGGTATATGTAAGGTTAGTATTGAATACAGTGAGCTGTTTTCTTGTAAATGTTTTCGAGGTAGGTTTGTGTTTTTTTTTCTATCGTGAAAATTTTTAGGGTAGAGTCATTGACTTACAAATAAATGGACGGGTCTAATACAAAAACCACGAAAAAAATGTCCCAAGTCAACCTATTTAAACGTAGTGACATTTAAAGTAATATGAAAAAGCTAAAACGTTGAATTTAAATTGTAATGTCATCGCAGTACTGTCTAATTTTGCTTGCTTCGCCGTCAGTCGAACAAACGAAGACTAGAGCGTGAATGACGCTCTGTATACGATTTTAACGCCCTATATGTTCGGACACTTTTTAGCGCGGACCCGACGTCCATATAATTGTAAGTCAATGGGTAGAGTACATCTTCAATTTTACTATTGTATTTTTTCCAAAATGATTGATTCAACACTCTCACTGTTACGCGAAAGCACCCAAAGCCACTCGAGGTTGTATCGACTCATAGATTCCAGTGCCAGTAGAACTTCTTGTAAAAAGAGTTCGCCCAGGGAAGCACTGCTACATTACCTTTCTGCTGCTTTGTTTCGAAGGGTAAGGATTGCTGGTGACATTACAGGCACATGAGACTTATCAACTTATGTCTCAGGGTGACGGGCGCAGTGACAGTGCCGATAAGGTGATTGCAATTTAAATATCTGAGTGGCACTGCAACTGTCACACGTGTCATGTCACCTACGACCAGACCCTCGACTTGTTCATCCTGTCGCTTGAATCTGTCTGAATCATATAAAGTAAAGAATTATGGTCTTTCAAAAGTCGGTTTGTCACTTACTTGCAACACTCCATCCCAGGTTTGAATAACGTTAGAGCAATTTTTGACTGGAATTGTGCCTTCTCCGGATTCAATCTTGGTGCGAAGTTGTCCACGGGCCATTCTGAAAAAACAATTGCGTACAATTTAGAGTGTCATAGACATCACTGTTTGTATGGATACAAGCTTTTTTCCTGAACAGCTTAAGACGATTGTGCGAAGTATAATGGCTCCTTAAAAACCATTTAATACAGTCATTTTCAAAAGAATGGTGGTAAATCTTAAAGGATACTGGCTGGTTCGTAATTGAAAACTAAATTAGTTCTAGATTAGGTATCTTGAATACAGGGAATTTCACAGGGAATTGTTTTAGTTAGGCACATTACAATTAGTAAACGAATGAAAGAATGAATCGAACTGAATGGAATGAATGGACCGAATGAGTTAATAAAATGACTGAAATTATTAATGAATGAAGTAAAGAAAATAATGGTCGAATTTATTTTTTAAATTTCATTATAACTTTTACTGAAAAAATATACAACTGTTCTTTAACACAAAACATGCATTTATAGTAAAATATTAAATAAAAGCATGAAAGTTTTAAATTGTTCATGTATTTCTTTATTCTTCTAAGCACTTTACAATTTAATACAAATAAATTATTTTGCTTGTATTCTCCAAAAATAACAGCGCGCTGTCAGATCACCCGACAAAATCTTTAACCTACAACATGACTTCTCTCCCCAGTGTTGCCATCACGAAAACCTGAATCTGTACACACTACACTTTTTCTTTACAAAAATCATTACATGTTTATCTTTTTTGAAGACGGAGAAAAAAGAAAGTTCATTTTGCAAGTGTGGCCCGCTTGCAAACAGCTAGTGATTGCAGTCGATAAATATTCTATCGAGTATCGACTACATGTTGGTTACGCTTATGAAATAAATAACTGAATTTGTATCGTTTGAATCATGATCGACCCATTATTCGTCCTACTGCAGAGCACAGTTTCATTTAAAAAGTGGATTATAAACTGTTTAATTTTAATCAATATAGATAACCAAATCCACCTGTCGTTATTAAAATGTGTATAAATAAAAATTGATTTCGACATTGGTAGGCCAATTGTCAAAATAAGAATAAAGAAGGCAATATCGTAATTAGTAATCAGAACGTCATAACATTCAAAATTAATTTACCTTCTTTCACAATCTATCGATAAAACTGTCCATAACAACTACATGACTGTTCAAAATTGTAGGAAAATTGGCAACCCCGCTAAAGTAATTACTTATATAAATTACTTTAAGCCTTTTCTTCGATATATAGTCATATGTCGAAGAAAAGGCAAAAGCCTTAGTAGTAGCCTGTAGACACAGGCGTCTCTCCGCTTAAATATTACATAACATCGCCCTATTTATTATATAATTAAGATAATTAAGATGGTACCAGACCTTAAAACCTAATTATACCTGTAACTAGCGTCGGACTACTTACCTATTGGGATGCCTGTCCGGCTGCAGCTCGTGCTGCTCGTGAGGACTGAAGATCCTCCCGTCTCCGCAAGGTGCCGTGCTCACGTACAGATGCAGTTGCCGGTCGGGCTTCAGCTGGAAGCCTCCGCCAGGGACCGGTTCCAAATCGGATTCCGGGATCGTGATGCGCGGATCTGTCGGAACCATTTTTAACTGACTTCAAAAAAGGAGGTTCTCAATTCGTCTGTATGACGATATCACGATAAGCCGTTTGTGAACCAATTTTGGTGATTCTTTATTTGTTGGAACGAAGGTACCTCAGATGTGGACCCATTTAAATTTCAAGAAAATATACCACCTCTAAGGGTGGCAAACTAAGGGATGGACTATTGAGGTCCGTTTTTTTAACCGGAGGTTAGGTTATTTGAAATTTTAGTTGTAATTATTATAAAAAATAAAAACGTTTATTTACTTTAACTTAGGTCAAGTTTACGATACAGGGTTCGAAACTCCTTTTAAGTAAATATATACTTGTGCTAAGAGTTCCGCTCTTCCACATTACAAATAAAGTAATTATTAATACTAAATTTTAGGAGTTGTAATTATTAATGCGTATTTCTAATGATCAGTCAGATTTATAATGTTCAATGTTTCTATGATTGAAATAAATTTAATCTACCTTTTGCGTTTGCGTACATCAGCAACTGTGCATAGAGGTGTCTCTGCAAGCAGCGCCTGGCGGCCACCTGAAACAATTATTCAAATAATCTTATTTACCGACGTGGTTGGCCGGTCGGAGCGTGCGTTCTACGCGCTCTGATTGGCCGAGGCGTCAACCGTCGCTCACTTAGATTGATCGAGCTGTCAACGGTTACTAACTTTGATTGGCCGAAGTGTTGACCTTAACGAAAGCTCACTCTGATTGGCCAATGCGTCAACAGCCTTTGATTGGCTCTGGTTGATTGTGATTAGTGGTTGTGTTAATAGTCGCGATAGTGGCTGGAAGTGGTGATAGTTAGTGGTAATTTTACTGATGGTTGTGGTGATTTCACGTTATCGGCTACCGCTAATGTGCGGTGGTCGTAATGGTATTGCATAGCACACGTTATGCTGAATCTCTAATGACGTACAAACATATTGAATGGTAGTTTTTAACAAATAATAATACACAGAGGAAGTTTGCAAAACTAGAAATGATAATATTTGTTATCATATCAATTATAAACGCATAGTACATTCGTAGCCCCGCACTAGGGAAACCCTGTGTCGCTGATGCCTTGGACACACATAGACAATATAGATATATAACACCTTCGATTAGGCAGCAATTGATTGATTGACATAACTACACAACTAGGCTTACCTCAGCGTGACAATCATTGACAGCTCTTCCTCGTACAGACATGTGTTCGCCGGACACGCATTTCGTGCCAGTTGTCACAGCTATCACCTGTCAAAATGAAATCAAACATTTTTGTAATTTTTTTGTAATATCAAGTGACGGGACGAACAAGTCGTGCGTCTGGTGGTAAGCTACACGCCTGTCCGCAACAGTTGCAATGCCACTCAGATGTTTAAATCGCAAAGATGAGCTGAGACATAAATTGACAAGTCCCATGTGCCTGTAATTTCACCAGCGAAAAACGGAATACAGTAACTAATATTTTTTAATTATAATGTATTTGAATGAAATGCATTTAGTAATTAATTAATTTTAACAATGATGCGATTTGACATTATGGATTTCGATATATATCTGTAATGGTAAATGTGTTTGTACAATATAAGATAATGAATAAATAAACATTACTGCTTGGCGGTAGACATAGGTAAGGTGGCAGTACTTCACAGGACGAACTCTTTCACAAGGAGCTCTCTACTATTATTCTGCGTATTTGATACATTTGGCAAACAATCGCCATGTGTAAATGGCATGTGTGACAATATATTTGCCTTGTTTGCCAATTCGACAAATACAGCAAAACATCAAACTCGCTTTACCGCACGCTGGTCGGTTTCTCGACGCAAACCGTGCACACTATGGTCATTTTCATTATTTTAATTCCTTATTTGACTTCATCGAGTACATAACCAGAAATAGAGACGAAATAAGGGCCGTCCATCCCTGGCAATACATCAGGCTAACGGGCCTTATATCACTTTTAATTGTTAACTCTCGTTTGCACTGAAAATACAAATTAGATAGCTGAAATTGTACAGCGCCAACAACTGACGTGTGTGTATTCCAAAAATATTCTGTATTTATTGTAATAAAGATAATATCTCTAACTATGGGAGGCTGTTCCATTCGGTGGTTTGGGAAAAACAGCAAAACATCTAATTACAAAAGAAAAGAAATCAATTTCATCGGTAATTAAATATGTAATTTTTCAATTGTCGTCCATTATACCAAAGCTCAAGTTAAACTGATCGATTTTAAATGAAACAAATGACGACACCCGTCAATTGTTTCAAATTCGGGGTGGCCAATCGGAGCGCAGTTGTCACCGTAATGGTTTGGCAGAAGTTCTCTATTTATAAGACCTCTATTTCTGTTTATATACTCGATGTTTGACTCCTTGTGCAAGCCGTCATATTTGTCAATGTCTGCATGTTTGTCTGTACTTCATATATTTTTCCAACCGATTTTTCCATATGATTTATGACCACCATAGGATTGACAATGCTAGTTTTTCTAATTTTTCCATTATCTAGCCTAGCTTAGTGGGGACTTTAGGCAAACATTCCAGGAGAGAAAATGAGATCTAGATATAGTTTCCCAAAGTGGTCCCTACTCCCCCCCCCCCTTTTCTTCTGTTTTTTTTATGTTATGTTAATAATAATTCTTTTATTTCGCCTAAGTAGGCGGTGAGCTAAAAATTTTGGGAACCTATGGTCTATATTAGTAAATAGAGCCTCTTTTCAAGACTGACACGAGTGGGGGAAGTGATAGAACAAAGCAATTGGAAGTCTGAATTAGACATGAGGAATAGCGTTACATTTCCGTGACTGTCGTTCCGGTTCCAAAAAAATCACAATGATAAATCACCGTGATTTTGTCACGACTGTTACTTCCGTGAACTTGTCATGCCTATAACTTACATCACGATATACGGTTTTAGCCAGCGGCTTCTTTCTAATACTTATAGCCGTTTTTTATAGAATGATTGAAGTTTTTACTCCCTTTGTAATAAGTTTCAATTCCATTCAAAAAGTTGATTTTGTATTTAATGTAATTTTGTTTGTTACTTATTTAATGCGAATCTTTGGGTTGTTAAAAATAGCAATAAAGTGTAATGTAATTATATTTCTAGTAGAATACACAAAGTAGATTATACATAAATATAAAATACCAACTCTTCCTATAATAAAAGAAATATACAAAAAAAATTTACTTTGTTAATAAATAGGTTTATAGTAACTGCTGCAGATTTTTTTCATCCGCCCTTTCTAGTAGTAATAAACACCTACGACCCTTGTGAGTGAGCAAAAAAGTCATCCCATCTCACTCAGTCCCATCGCCGAAATGGCCTGATTTGAAGAGAACTACAACGAGTGGCGCGCTCAGTCCCCACGGAACGGAGATCGCGCATTGTATCAAATACGTATGTCGTGATGTAAGTGACGAGGATAGCTATTGGAATGGAGGAACACCTATATGACTTTGGAACGTTGTTCCTTCGGAACGAGGCACGGTGATACTGTTTGACGGCGGATCATCATGATTTTTTCATCGTGACGTTATTTAACACCCACCTCTAGTCTAAATACTCATGCGTACGGGGAACAGAAATATTTACCGAAAGATACCGGTACTTAATAGAGGTTCCTGGGGCAAGTATTCTTTCCACTGCATTGACATTAGCATTCATGAATCTTCAGTGCGAAAATAAGCGATATAAAATAACGCGTATGATTAATAATTAGAATGAAGTACATCTCAAGTACCGGTACCGTAGCAAGGTTCAGTGATAACGGCTCCTGAAAATACCGATATCCCAAGCCATGGTCGGAGTTTTCTTGAATGGGCGAAAGTGCCATTTCGAAAAATTTTTCAGGTTAGAATGTTTTACTTTTTTATCATACTTGCTCGTAAATAGTATGACCGCACGATGGCTAACTTGACTATAATGCCCCAAATAAAACCCTCGAGCCCTTTTTCTTTCCATTACAGCCATGGTGGTAAAAAGTTTTATTTTAATTTGTAGCACAACATATTTCCTTACATAAGTCAGGTTCAAGTTTAACAAAAGAGGTTACTTAAGTTCAAAATTCAAACAGAAAATTAATTGCAATTCAGCCACATACTACTTATAATTAATTTTAATTATTTTCTGTATAAAAAGTTAGCAAGTTTTTTTACAATCCATTATGGCTGTATGCGTTTTGCTTTTTACAACATTTTAGTTCGAGTTGTATTATCTATGGACGAATAGCTAGCTGGGAATCAATTGATAAAAAGAAAAAAACAAAAACCCGCTATTGCAAAATCCATAGTTGTTGTATTACGAACCATATTTGTTTATTCATACAAGAAACATTGTATTTATTTCCTCGCAAATGTGATGAAAAGCACTGTATGCAAATGTATATAAAAAAAATACAAAACTCGGTTATTAGATCCCTCAGCCTTCGGCTTCGGGCTTCTAATGGACCCTTCGTTCGTGGACTGTTTTGCAATATTTACGTAAAACAAAAACATCGACGATTTGTAAGTATAATGTGGGCATTCACAACGCACCTTCGCGTCCTCGATCCTGTTGTTGATCGTCATCACGATGCCGGCGAGGACTTTGCGCTTCGAATGCACCAGATCGCCTTTCAGCACCTCGTTGAACTTCTCGTTTACCAATCTGTCGAAGATTGGTTATTGCGTTTTATTAAATAAATCAATGTAACTCATATCGACTGTGAACTGGCAATCGGTACTATCTCAATTTTGACAACTTTACAGGATGAAGAAAAAAATTGTTTGCGTCATTTATATAGCATCTGGTTTATTAAATAAAAATACGTGGTTTTTAAATATTTTTATTACACCTGTATGTATGTGCATTACGTATTTTTATTTCATAAACCAGATGCTTTATGTAAATGATCTTTTTCTTCATCCTGAAAAGTTGTCAAAATTGAGATAGTACCGGTTGCCAGTTCACAATTGATATGGCGCTACGGCCAAAAAGTCGTTAAAAACTAGATACAAAGATCCGACAAACAAGCACATAAAAAAATTCGTGAGGTCCGCTGGTTGGTTCCGTGGCTTAGTTGGCACAGCGTCTGGCACGGTTTGCTAGAAGACGTCGGTTCGAATCCGGCCGGATCGAAGGAATTTTTTCTAAGTGTTCGATCTTTGTATTAATAATTATAACTTTTCTAGCGGAGTAATTTCACAATAAATAATTGAACAGCATGATGGCCAAACATTCTGACATTCAATAAAACACATAAATCAATATAAATATTAGACAACGTCACAGTGTTGCTCTTTCGGAGACATTGGAGGTTGGTTCTTGTTGGTTGCTATTAGTGAAATTCGCAGTTGGTACAAATCAGGTAACATATTTTAGTCAAACTAGCGTACTTAGGTACACATTTTACAATCTCCTAATTAGTTTATACGTTTGCGAGACTGCATAGTCGCGGCGGCAGCGCCGCCCTCGCCGCGGTGGCGCTGGCCAGAAATCATCGAATACATTATTGCAATTTTTTTTTGGGGAATAGCTCCATTAGTTTCTATTATAATTATTAATATAAAGATCGACCACATAGAATGAACCCAATATTTTTCAATTGTTCTGAATTTTTTCCGGAAAATTTTCCACTATTCACTACACTCTACTTTCCTCATTAACCTTTAAAAATTTCGTATATAAATAATTTTTCCGGGTTCACATACTAGATTAGATTTGCCGTTCAAGAACACAGTGAGAAAACAATTCTTACGCGTTATAAAACATCATCAATGATGAATTAATTACGAATACATACAACGCCATCTATTAGACGAATATGGTACTTACTTGCCAATATGATCGGCCAACGTCTGTGGCAGGAAGCCCGCAGCTGGCGTTTGTGTTTGCATTGGCGAAGGCTCGGTCCTACCCTCCTCCAATACTGCAAGAGCTGAACGAGCTGCTGCCAGCTTTGCCAGTTTCTTGCTTGAGCCTGTTAGTTTATAGAATAATCTCAATACAGAGTACTAACAAACAGGCCTCAAAAGTACGTGGAATTACATCCGTTTGCCAAGTTTTATTGAAATTGGTTACCGGAATGTGCGCGAAACCGTTTCATTCCCTTAGTTTGCCACGCTTAGAGGTGGATTATTTTCTTCTAATTTAAATGGCACCAACACCGAGGTACTGCAGGTACTCTTTCCAACAATCATCAAAACCGGTTCACAAAGGCCGGAGTTATCTCGTAACATACATACCAAAAAAAGTACAGTCGAATAGTGAACTTCTTTTTTTTAAGTCGGATAAAAATAGCTTCATCTCCAATGAGTAACTTTGTTTTTTTGTTAAACAATTATAGACAGATACCATAATACTACACAATCTATTGTCGTACCTATCAGCTTATTTTTGATACAATCCGTAAAGGTAATATGTCCATCCATCGTCCGTCCTCCGTCACCTCCATCGCCTAAACTTGCAATTTTCAAAAATAGCCCTTATTACAGCGCAATAGCAATATATAAGAAGGTACCTAGTAATATATTACTTCAGAAAGACGTAAAACTGGTTTACAACAAATTGAAAAACACAAACAGGGCACATGTAATGTATTTTATTGCATGTTTGCTAATAAATAAATACTGAAATGTTTTCATATAAAGTACACAACTAAATGAGTCTGGTGTCGAATTTAAAAACCCAGATGACTCTAATAACGTGTCAAAACATATACTATCACTTGCCACGATACTATATTATCGTACCCGTGGTGTAATAAGGCCACATTTACAAAATGATAAAAGAGAGGTTTAAAGAATCTACGAAATTAATCAATAACCTTTTTTTATTGTTATTATTATGAAACCAAGCAACGGAACGAACTTTTTTTTCCTGTTCCTAAGATTCAGTAATACATAGTACACATTAGTGAAATAAAACAAAAAAATCCCCATTTTTTTATATGTTAATATTTTCCAATACTTTCTAACGCAAGGTTAAAATCAAAATAGTAAATAAAATTGAGCTACGGGCGCCGAGTTGTCTAGACGCCTAGGCGCCAGTACGTCGCGCCGCGAGACGACAGACCTGCGCTAACGCATTGCGCGTTAGTTTAATACTTTGTTGTCTGTCAAATACATATACTCACGCGCTGACTCCGCCTACTGCCCCACACTTTGTTGTTGCTATAGCAACGGCGTCTATTTATCGTCGGGTGTCAATATTGTTCACAATTTTTTCAATTTAATTCACTGTGGCTCTAGTGAAAAGGGATACTGAATATGATATTAAGCGTTAAGTGTTTTTCGCGTTTCCGTGTAAAGTTGGCGTTTTTGACTCGTACCCTTTTCACTAGAACCGCAGATATACTCCACTGGAGTTTACACTTAGAATTTTCAGTAGTTGCTTCATTTCAAAAACTAACAGAAATTTACAAATAAAATTAAAATTCTTTCTTTTATCAAAATGCGCGATACATACATGCAACAATAGCGCGTTTACGCGCAAATGACGCGCGTTAACGGCGCGTATAAAATATGCCGTGTACATAGACTCTAAGATGCGTTTTTTTAATAAACATAATTATTACTTTGGATCGCTTTTTTGCAAGTAGCACAGAGTTGACAGAGTCGAAAGTCGTCAAACGAAATTAATTCTTAAAAGGTTTTTGGGTTAATAAAAATTATACCTTTAGATAAAACTTACCGTATCCTTCAAATTTCTGATCCTTGATCTGGCAGACGACTTTGAAACGCATGCTGTGGCTCAGCTGCATGGGAGCTGCAAATAAAAAATATCATAGATCTCTCACAGATGGCGCTACGGCAGGAAACAATTCATTAAAAACAAAAAAGATCTGCAACAAAGACATAGAACAATTCGTAAGATATGCTGGCTCGCTCTGTAGTTCGTTGGGAGAGCGTCGGCCTGGTATGTTCGAATCACGCCGGATCGAAAGAATTTTTGTTAGAGTCAGGTCTTTGTATTAATAATTATAGCAAACTATAATAAAATTATCTCAGTATAGAGTACTAAAAAAACCGACCTCAAAAGTACGCGGAATTACGTCTATTTGCCAAGTTTTATTGAAATATCCCCTAGTTTGTCACTATACAGGAATTGACACAGGAGATAATAAAAATCGGTTTTACTACTCAAAGTATATTGAGAGAGAAAAACGCCTTGAATTGGAGAATAGCAAAATAAACCATTAAAATAATTGCTAATTACAATATTTTTATATTATAATATAATAAAATTTAGGCGCTATTTATAAAAATGAATCTTCATGCGTGAACAGCCACCCTTAGAGGTGGATGATTTTCTTCAAAATTAAATGGGACCACTATGGAGGTATCCTCATTCCTAAAAGAATTCAGAAAATCGGTTCATAAATACCGGAGATATCGCGTAACATACATACAAAAAAACATACCGTCGAATTGAGAACCTCCTCCTTTTTTTGAAGTCGGTTAAAAATAATTTAATAGTCAAAACGTGATAATTCAATAAACTTTATATTACAACAAAATACAAATTCAATCTAAGGGAATCTGGTTCTGGGACCTTCGCCTTTTTCCTCTCCCGCCTTTTCTTTCTTTTTATATTTCATAAAGTTAAATAATCTTTATTTCATAGGTAAGCAAATTTACACTTGAAATCTTGAAATATTGATTAAATTCGTAAGTCAGATTCCCTGAGAAGAATGAGCAAGAAACTCTAGGGGTTGGTCTTTGTAAATATAAATTTCAATACATTTAACATTTACAATATTTATTTGAAACATCTTAGATCGAGAATACCTGCAAGTGTTAAACGGGTCGCTAGCACGGAATTTTGTCATCCAAGTACACAGAAGCTGTATAATAACCATTGGTCGGAAAAAAGGTGTACCACATTATGATGTATAGACATAGTTACAAAGAGCAACATAAGAGTTGTTAAAACCACTAAATATTAATTAATTACTTTTTCGAATTCCGGAATTCCGTAAATGTTTTACTGCATCGTTGGACAAACTACTGACCTAGGAAGTCGAAGTTGAATTTTAAAGTAATTCTAATGGTGCCATGTAAAGAATGCAGTAGATAACTGACCGTTTACCAAAACGATAATAAAAAAGTAACGATAATGGTCACTCTCCGCCCCTCCATAGCTTTAGATACCGCTTGTTGATGGTCACATTGACAGAACAGCGACATTTGCTAGTAGAACTTAAGAAAAAAAATTAATTAAAAATTTTATTTATGGGAGAATTTTAGGACATTTTAGTTTGCATGAGAATCGTGATCGCGCTCTAAAAATATTTTATTTAAGTTCAAAAACACAGTATAACAGCTGTTCATAAATTCGAGCCACTAGCAGAAATGTCGTATTATAAAAGGATATATAAGGTTCACGGTGGATAATTTTAATGCCTTCACATCCTTACTCAGTCTTACTCATGCTACTTATCTACATAAATAGAATAAAGAGACGATTTTCTTTCATCCGGAAATCCGGAACTCGAAAAAAGTAATT